TGGGAGGAGCTGGGGGCCCGAGGCCCTGGCGGAGCAGCCCTGGCTCCCTGCCAGTGCAGATGGACAAGCAGCTGGCGGAGATGCTGGCAGGCCATGGATGCCGTCCAGCCTGGGACAACCCGCACGGCTCCTCCCGGCTTGTTCCCGTGCTCTACCACGTGTACTCCTTCCGCAACGTCCAGCAGGTGCCAGATGCAGTGTCCTCCTGAGCTGGGGGCATCCTGCTGGGGGGACAAGGGACCCCATGGGGTTGGCGCCTCTGGGTGGTGCCTTGATCTCAGCGCAGCCATCAGTACCTCCCAGGACTCGGGACACACCATGGGTAAACCGCGCAGCTATCCGGCCGCTTTCTGCAGGTGGCTTCTGCTCCGTGTGGAGGCCACACTGGTTTCTTGGTGGTGGGGGAGCGGTCTTTCCTACCGAATTTAAAGGGCTATGAAGCCACTGCAGCGCCTCCTGACTCCTGCCTGTCGTGACCGCAGATCGGGCGTCCTGAAGCCGCACCAGCCTACGTGCAGCTGCTGGAGACGGCCGCGGAGCCCACGCTGACCTTCGAGGCGGTGGATGTGCCCATGCTGTGTCCTCACTGCCCTGACCTCACCGCACACGGGCGCCTTTCTGCTCAGCCCCACCAAGCTGGAGGCAAGACGGTGGAGCGCCATGAAAATCAGGAGCTGCTGGAACAAACCACGACCACAGGCTGCACGGGGCGCTGACGCTCTCACCCAACTGGGCAACTGCGCCTGGCGCGCTAACGGGCGGGTGCTGACCTGTGCTGCAGCTTCTCCAGGCCAAGGGCTGCCCTGCCAGGCGTGCCGGCCTCCCGGCTCCGAGGCTCCTGGCCGGCGACGACCGAGCACAGCGCCGCGCCCGCCGCAGCGCCGAGCTGCGCCGGTGAGCTGGGCGCGCGCCTGCCGAGAAGGTGGCCCGTGAGATGCACAGCCTGCGGGCGGAGGCGCTGTACGCTCTCCCGCTGGCGAGCACCTGCGACCGCGGCCTCTGGCTCCCCGCACAACATGGATTTTCGCGCCGCACCTACCCATGCCCGCCGCACTTCAACCACCTGGGCAGCGACGCGCGCGGCCCTGCTGGAGCCCGCCCAGGCCGCCCACTCGGCCCGCACGGCCCGGACTGGCCTGGCATCCATCGGTCAACCTCACCGGCTCAAGAGCGCTGTCCGCAAGGAACCGCCTGGCCTTCGCGGAGGAGGTGATGACGACATTCTGATTCATGGACCAGCCCATGACGGGGGGCGGGGCCCCCTGCCTCGGTCCCCTGCCCGGCCTCCCCAGGTGCCTCCGTCTCCCCCTCTCCCTCCCTGCCCCTGCCCCGCGCCTCCCATTCCCTCCTCCCCGTGCGCCCCAGGTCCCCTGCCCGCCTCCTCCCAGGTACCCCCTGCCTCCCCTCTCCTCTCTCCCCATGCGCCCCGCGCTCCCATCCTCCTCTCTCTGGTGCCTCCGGCCCTGCCCGCCCCTCCTCCCAGGTGCCTCCGTCCTCCCTCTCTCACTCCCTCCCCCTGCGCCCCCGCGCCTCCCATCCCTCCCTCCCCTGCGCCCTCGGGTCCCCTGCCCGCCTCCTCCCCAGGTACCCCGCTCTCCCTCTCCCTCCTCCCTGCGCCCCGCGCTCCCATCTTCCTCTGGAAGCCCAAGGCCCCTGCCCGCCTCCTCCCAAAGTGCCCCCATCTTCCCTCTCCCTCCTCCACCCCCTGCGCTCTCCAGCCCTTTCTCCCCGGTGCCTCTGGAGTCCCCTGCCCGGCCTCCTCCTGCCTCCCTTCCTCCCCTGCTCCCCTCGTGTCTCCCGCCCCTCCCCATCACCTCCCCACTGTCTCCTGCCTGCCCTCCCGTTCAGGTGCCCCCGCCTCCCTTCTCCCCTGTGCCCCCACGCCCCCCGCCTCTCCCCTGGCACTGCCACGCCCACCGCCTGCCCTCCTCCGCAGGTCCTCTCGCCTTCTCTCCCTCCTTCTGCGCCTCCCGTGTCCCCAGCCCACCCTCCTCCCCAGGCGCCCCCACCCATGTCCTTTGGCTCCTCTCCCCGTGCCTCGGCCCCCCGTCCTTCCCCCACAGCGCCTTCTCCCGGGCGCCCCACATCCTCCTCCGCTGCCCCTTTTTCCCTGCCTGGCCCTCCTCCTCTCCCCAGCACCCTGCCTCCCCTATGCCCTTCTCCACCCTCGCTCTTCCTCCTCCCCAGGCGCCCACATCCTCGCGCCTCCCTTCTCCCCCCACCGCGCCCCGCCTCCCCCATGCTCCCTCCTCCTCCTCTGGCGACTCCCGTCCCTGTCCTTCGTCCCCGCCTGCTCCTCCTCCCTAGGTGCCCCCACATCCCCCTCGCTCCCTCCTCCCCTGGGCGTCCTCGCGCCTCCTCCTCCCCCAGGCGCCCCCAGCGCCCCCGCCCACTCTCCTCCTGGTTCCTCTGGACACTTGTCTCAGCCCCGCCCACCGCAGCCTCACCCTCCATCTGTGGCTGTAGAGGACTCATCCAGTCAGTGCCTCTGTCTCTGCCCACATGGGTCCCGTGTCTACCATCAGGCCTGTGCCTCTTCCCTATGTTCCCACTCCCGCACCACACCTCCCAGCGGGCCCAGGTCCGCCTGAAGCCACTCGGCCCACCACACTCCCCAGCCGCAGGGCCGAAAGTGGTGGATGGGCGCGAGGAACCTGGCAGACGCTGGCTCACAGGCGGAGGTGGCGAACGCCGTGCGCTCCTCAGACCTCTGCTGCTTGATGGCTTCCACCTCCCCTGGCCCACCAGGTGAGCCCGCAGGTGGGGCTCCTCAAGGCCATGCCGCGTGCACTTGGTCTGGGGTCACTTTGGAGGTTGTGAGATCTCACTTTCTCTTGTGGTGTCTTTTTGGAGGTGGTTCAGAGGGTCCAGAACTGTGGCTCCTGGTCTTTCCTGGGGAGCGCCCAGGCTCAGGCACTTGGCTGGGCGTGCACAGCCTAGGAACAGCTCGACCTGGGGGTAGCTCTGGGGGCCCCACACGTCTCTGCCTCCTGAGTTCCCGTCTCCTTTGTGGCCCTCTCAGACGGCTTCTGCAATGGCCTGGCAGCATTATGCTGCCCTGGGCCGCGATGAGAAGCAAGCGCCTCCGCCAACCTGGAGCCTCGGATGCCGTGAGACGGTGGCCAGCGGCGTGGCTGCGCAGGTAGGGCGTGGTGCCTCTGTTACCTGCTGCCCGGGGCATCGTGTGGGGGCAGTGTGGGCCCTGAGTTCCCGGGCCTCATACCACCTTGGCCTGGCCTGAGGATGTGTGGCTTGAAGGGATCTTCCAGCAGATGGTACCCGAGGGCTTCATGGATGCTTGGTGGCCGTGGGCTGCTGGCAGGGCTGACGCGCACCCGCCTCCCGTGCAGGTGGGAGGTGTTCCGCAGGCAGACGCCAGCGGCACGCGGGTGGCACAGATGCTGAAGGCTTCATCACCCGCAAGGTGGTGAAGCAGACGGGGATGACTGTGGGTGTACGGGGTCACCCACTATGGCGGGCGTCTGCAGATTGAGAAGCGCCTCCGGGAGCTGACCGACTTTCCCCAGGTGCGCCAGGCCTGTAGCGCTTGGAACATGTTGGTTTCGTTGCCGTTAAAAGTTGGATGATTTTAAGGCAGACCCAGCCTCCCAGCGGAAGAAGACCCAGCTGGTCCCAGACCACTGACCTGCCTGCTCGGGCTTGGGCATTTCTCGCCGACTGTGGGGAGTGTCAGGCCCTGGGCCCTGCTGGGCTCTGGGCCTCAGTTGTTTCGAAATGGGGGAGTAGGCGCAACCGGCCAGCCCCTGAGGACCCGCATCTGCCGCCCGTCTTCTGCAGGAGTTTGTGTGGAGGCCTCCCACTACCTCGTACGCCAGGTCTTCAAGAGTCTACAGGAGATGTTCAGGGACCCGGCCATCCAGGTACGTCCTGTGCTGTCCCTCGCTAAACAGGCCTCCTGAGCAAGTGGATGGGAGCTCCCGGCTGAGCCCCCCCAGCTCCTGAGACGGCTCAGTCCCACAGCACCTGGCCGACTGAGCGCCCCGCCTCATTTCCCCATGGGCCTCGCGGGTGGAGTGGTCACACTCTGGGTATCCTCATCATCCAGCCCACTACCTGGGATCTCAAGGTCAAGGCCAGTACTTCATCCCGGCCCCAGTGTGCTCCGCCCCAGTATACCCCCATCCCGTGTACCCCCATCCCAGTGTACCTCATCCCAGTGTAACCAACCAGTACACTACCCTCGGGCCTCATCCCAGTGTGCCTGGCCCCAGTGTACCACCTAATCCGTCCCAGTGTACTCCCAGTCCCAGTGTGTACCCTCGTCCCAGTGTACTATCCTATTCCATCCCAGTATACCACCGTCGCAGTGTACCCCGTCTCAATGTAAATTCTCCCACTGTACCCTGTCCCCCTGTACCACCCCTGGGTCCCAGTCCCCAGTACCCTTATCCCAGTGTACTCTCATCCCAGTGTACCTGTCCCAGTACTCCCGCCCCAGTGTATCACCGTCTCAGTAAAATACCCCCAACTCCATCCAAGTGTACTCCCATCACAGTGTACCCCTATCCCATCCCAGTATACCCCCTATCCCATCCCAGTATAAATTCTCGTCTCTGTACTACCTCTTATCCCATCCCAGTGTACTCCATCCCCAGTGTACTCCTATCCCAGTGTATCACCCTGTTCCAGTGTACTTCGCCCCAGTGTACCTATCCCAGTGTATCACCCACCATCTGGCAAAATTTCGTCCCAGTATACCACCACCATGCTGGGCTCCGGGCGGACTCACCAGCCTTCCCTTTTAGCAAGTACGAGGGATTCAGAGCATCACTCACACCCCCAATGGAGAGACCAGCCAGTGAGTGGGGGCCCGGGCTGGGGGCTGGCCGGGAGCAGCCACAGGGAGATGATGGCCAGTTGCATGCCTCTGGGCTTTGGGAGTGCATTCTGGCCCCCACCCGCACCTGTGCTGTTCCTAGGAAGCCCAACACGCGTAGCAGAAGAACGGGTTCCCGCGAACTTCATCCACTACACTGCACATGATGCTCACTGCCCTGCACTGCTACAGGTGGGCATCCCGGGTGGCAGGTGCTGCTCGCCTCCCAGGTCCTCTGTTCTGGCTACTGGGGCACCGCTGGCAAGGCAGGGTCCAGTACAGACACAGTGCTGGGTGCAGGGTCTGGGCAGAGTGGGAGCTGCTTGATCTGCTGTGTCTAGTAGGGCCTCTGTTCCCGAATGAAGGTGGTCCTGAGCCGGGGCTCCCGCCACCCCCGTGGGCCTGACGGGAGAGCTACATGGGCTCTGCCCCTTTGTGGTGGGCATTTCTGGTGAGCACCGCAGTGTGTGGTTAGATCTGGGGCACGTGGAGGCCGTCACCGCAGTGTGTGGCAGTGTGTGGTTAGATCTGGGGCACGTGGGAGGCCGCCACCGCAGGTGTGGTTAGATCTGGGCACGTGGAGGCCGGGCCCCAGCAGCATCTACCGCCACGGGAGCTGGGAAGACCAGCACGTGGGGTGGTGGCCCTGGCCGAGGGGACAACGCAGCTTGCCTCGAAGCTGAGGCTCCACAGCAGCCTGGGGGCAGCAGGGGCAGGGCGGCTCGAGAACGCCGGCCTGGTGCTGAGGCCAAACCCAGGATGTCACGAGGGCCTGGAGGAGGGTGGGCTTCGACCTTGAGAGGGCTGAGCACAGGGCCGGGATGCTGCCGTGGGCGGCCCTGTGGGCTCCCTTCCCTTCAGGAGCCCTCCGCTCTGTCGCAGGAAGGGCCTGACCTTCGTCTCTGTGCACGACTGTTACTGGACCCACGCAGCCGATGTCGCCGTCATGAACCAGGTGCCCTGCCTGAGCCTTAGTCCATCCATGGGTGGGGCCTGGCCACCGGGGCATTGGGCAGGGCGGTGCCCAGACTCCCGGCCTGACCCCCACGGGATTCTCTCACTTGCCCAGGTGTGCCGGGAGCAGTTTGTCCGCTTGCACAGTGAACCCATCCTGGAGGACCTGTCCCAGTTCCTGGTCAGCCGGTTCTGTCCTAAGTAAGGCACTCCCTTACCTAACTCCCCTACCTGACACCCCCCAAACCTGGCCTCAGCCTCACCCCACCTGCTTCCAGCCCCAGACCCCGGAAGCTCTCCCAGTGCTTGGAGGCTAGCCAGCTGGAAGGCGCGACACTGCAGGCAGTGCCTAAGCCAGGTAGGCGGGTGGACGTGCCTTCAAGGGCGCTCTAACAGCGGGCCAGGCGGGACCTTCGTGCCACCCACGCTGTCCGCTCCTGCTCACTCCGCAGGGCCTTCTACCCGGGAGCGGGTGAAGCATCTCCACCTACTTTTTTCAGCTGACACCGTGGCCTTGTGCCAGTGTGTAACAAAGCTCTTTGCCACTTCCAGGAACTGTTATTTTCAGTGAGGTGCGCGCCCATGCGCTCCGAGCAAATCATACGCGGCCTGGGTGGGGCGCGGTTGCCGCTTATTTACATGGAATGGGAGTGTAAAGTAATGGGGCGTGGGGCCACGGGGAAGACTGCTGCCTCGGCTCTTCAGTACATTCATCACGGGCAAGTGGACCTCAGCCTCGCCCTGCGTCTGCGCAGCCAGGCCCGCCTCCTCGTGCCGTGCTGAGGGAGTCAGTGCTGCCCCGGAGGCCACCGCGGACGCGTGGATGGGGCCGGGCCGACATGCGTGAGCGCGATGGGGGCAGCGCGAGCTGGCGGCCAAGTATTGCACTTAAAAACAATCATCGGACGGCACACCTGGGAGGGCGGTGCGGGCGGGCCTACAGCTGGTCCTCTGGGCCACCCCCTGGCCTCTATTTTACAGCTGGGGAATCTGAGGCACGAGGTGAAGGGAGCCCCGCACACGCAGGCCGCGCCGGGGCAGGGCGATGGGGGCAGAGGCGTATGGGGGGACGGCCAGGGGCGCGAGGGGTTGCCCCCACCAGCCCGGCCTGGCCCGGCCCATCAGCGGCCGCCTACGCCTTGCTCCATGGCTTCTGGGCATGGCGCCGGCAGCGCAATGGCATGGCTTTGGTCTGATGACGGCCCCGCCCCCGCCCACCTGGACTCGCGGGCGGTTGGCGAGGGTCACAAGTTGGACGTAGATGGGGCGAGCGCGCGGAGTCCTGGGGGTCCAGGCTGGCGGCGCCAGGCGAGGCTGACAGTCCCGCGGTCCGGGCTGGGCGCGCGGCCCGGGCAGCAGGCGGCGCGGCCCCAGGCGTGGGCGTGCTGCTGGCCGGGCGCGCGCGGAGGCCGCGGGCCGGGCGCGCCGTGGGGCAGCCGAGGCTGCGAGGCGGACAGGCGCGACGCGCGGCTCAGGCGGCGCGCGGGCAGGGCGGGCCCAGCAAGGGGGGCGGCGGCGAGCCGTAGGCGAGGTCTCGGCGAGGCCCGGGGCTGGGAGGCGGGCACGCCCGGGGCTGGCAGGAGGCGTGGGGCCCCGTGAGGCGGGGCGGCAGGTGCGGGCTCCCGGGCGGGCGGGCGGACGCAGGCGCGGCGAGCCGAGCGCCAGCGCCCACGGAAGGGCCGCGCTACCTGCGGGCAGAAGCTCATGGCCACGGCTCATGCAAAGGCACATGGTCGAAAGACCGCGGCGCGCGCGGCGGAAGAGGCCCACGCCACGACGCCCAGCTCGGCCTGCTGCACCATCTCACGGTCGCATTTTGACGCATCTCCTGATGATGGCGTTCTCCTGGTTGTTGAATACGCCCGAGCTGGAGGTCATGCTGCACCTTGCAGTGGAAGGATGGAATTCTTCTGCCTGCAGGGGGCGCCAGCGCGCGCACAGAGAGCACTTTGCTGTGCATGAGCAGGCACCCAGCACTCATTACCGTATACGGCACGCACACATGGAGCACCTGCTGCACATAGCCAGCAGGCACCGAGCACCTACTCTACACAGCGGGTGCGCATGGAGTGCTTGCAGTGTAGAGCAAACATGTATTTAGTACCTACTGTATACAATAAGCACACATGTAGCCTCTCTTGCCTACAGTATGGATATTGAGTACCTGCTGTATACAGGCACCTGCTATGCACAACCAGCATGCATGAAGCAACTCACAGGAGCAGGTTTTTTGCTCTTTTTTTTTGAGACACAGTCGCGCCTATCGCCCAGGCTGATGTTACACACCTCAGTTCACTGCAAGCTCCGCCCAGGGTCTAATACGCATCTCCTGCCTCAGCCTCCCAAGTAGCTGGGACTACAGGCGCCCGCCACCACCACACGCGGCTAATTTTTTGTATTTTTAGTAGAGACAGGTTTCACCGTGTTAGTCAGGATGACCTCAGGATCATGATCCTGACCTTGGTCTCCATGCTGGGATTACAGGTGTGAGCCCCCGCACCCGCAGCAAGCAGGTATTTAATGCTTGCTGTGCACATGAGCAGGTGAATACTGTACAGCAAGTATGCACGTGTACCATCTGTATATGCTGATTATGTAATTCGTGCCTCCAGTGTGCTGCAGACATACCGAGAACACCTGCCTGTAAACAGCCCGTGCTCAGCGCCTGCTGCATAAGGTGAAGGTATAACCTAAACACCTGACATCTAGGAATGTATTGCATACTCGCTGTATAAAGCAAGTTGTGGAGGCCTTACTGTACAGCTGGGGAGCTCCCCGACACCACTCCATTGCACCTGTCCCATGCTTCCGCCATGGTCTTCATTCCCATTCCCATGTGCCAGCAGCACGAGCCACGATCTCCCTGGCGCCTCATATCCAGTCATCAGGCTCTGAGTTCTCCTGTCCTGGTGAGACTGCCCCCTCAGAGGCCAAGTCACCGCTTCCTCCCGGACACGGGCCACCTTGGTGGATACTATCTGATCAGGTCCTCTGCCCACCCAGAGCCTCCATGGCTCCCCGGATGCTCCTGGATTTGGTCAAAACTCTCCTGCCGCCCCACTGGGCCCTGTGTGTCTGGACCTCCTTCCTCCCTGACCTCCGCCAGGCCTCCCTGGCTCTCTGGACTCTAGGCCTCCTTTCGACCTCAGGGCCTTGGGACATGCTGTGTCCACTCCAGGAACACACCTTCCCGCTTCCACGTGGCACTCTTTACCCTGGTCTCACTCTGCATTCCCTAACCCAGGAAGCCCACCAGCCCCACCTCCCTGCTGGCACACAGCCTGGTCGTGTGATTTGACCACCAGTCCATAAGCCTCCCTGGGAGTCTGGAGTGGGCCCCACGGGTCTGCCCTTGCCCCTCCAGCACAGCAGGGCTCACCGACCATTCAGCACAACCGAAACACCCCCGCATGCTCTCTTCCTTGGGAAATAGCTGCCCTGGCCAAAGCTGGACAATAGGTCAGAAAATCAGCTCTGTACACTCAAAAAGGGTCCCAGGAGCGTGCCAGCCACTGCCCCTGCCCGAGCCAGCACCCTGCTGCCTTGGCCACGCCGCTGCCCCAGCCATGCCCCCAGATGCCACAGCCACGTTCTTTTACCCCCATTGCACCGGGCCGGCCACGCCCTGGTACCTTGGCCACGTCCCTGAGGCCTCAGCCACACCCCTACTGCCCTGGCCACGCCCCCGGCCCTCAGGCACACCCCTCTTGCCCCGGCCACGCCCCCAACCTCAGCCACTCCCGGGAGGCCTCAGCCACACCCCCTCCTGCACCGCCACACCCCGATCCTCAGCCACACCCCCTCCTGCCCCGGCCACCCCTGACCTCAGCCACACCTCCTGCACCGGCCACACCCCGAGATCCTCAGCCACACCCTCCTGCCCCGCCACGCCCCCTGACCCTCAGCCACACCTCCTGCACCGCCACACCCCTGACCTCAGCCACACCCTCCTGCACCGGCCACACCCCCGACCTCGGCCACGCCCCCTGACCTCAGCTACACCTCCTCCTGCCCCGGCCACGCCCCCAACCTCAGCCACCCCCTGAGGCCTCAGCCACACCCTCCTGCACCGGCCACACCCCGATCCTCAGCCACACCCCTCCTGCCCCGCCACACCCCGACCTCAGCCACACCCTCCTGCACCGGCCACACCCCGATCCTCAGCCACACCCTCCTGGCCTGCCACCCCTGACCTCAGCCACACCTCCTGCACCGGCCACACCCCGATCCTCAGCCACACCCCTACTGCTCCTGGCTTTCACGCCCCCTGGCCCTCAGGCACACCCTTGCCCCGGCTACGCCCCCAACCTCAGCCACCCCCCGAGGCCTCAGCCACACCCCTCCTGCACCGGCCACCTCTGCATCCTCAGCCACCCTCCTGCCCCGGCCACACCCCGACCTCAGCCACACCTCCTGCACCGGCCACACCCCGATCCTCAGCCACCCTCCTGCCCCGGCCACGCCCTGACCTCAGCCACACCCCTCCTGCACCGCCACACCCCGACCTCAGCCACACCTCCTGCACCGCCACACTTCGACCTCGGCCACGCCCCCGACCTCAGCCACACCCCTCCTGCCCTGCCACGCCCCCAACCCTCAGCCACCCCCCAGGCCTCAGCCACACCCTCCTGCACCGGCCACACCTCGATCCTCACACACCCTCCTGCTGCCAGGCCACGCTCCCCTGACCCTCAGCCACACCCTCCTGCCCCCGGCCACACCCCCTGACCTCAGCCACACCCCACCTGCCCCGGCCACGCCCGACCTCAGCCACCTCCTGCCCCGGCCACGCCCCCGCCTGCTCTACCGATGCGGTCCAGGCGGTCGATGGCCACCGTCAAGGGCGCGCGTATCATGGGGTACTCTCCAGCAACCCTGAAGCTGCCCACGCTCAGCGAATAGGAGGCGGTGCAGGTGTCGGCCCGGGCACGCGCGTGCGCGCGGCCCCGGTGAGCAGGCAGATCTCTGCACGGGCGGCGGCAGGGGATGTTGGACGGGGCGGGCACCGCGGCCTCCCGCCAGACACACGGGCCGGCCTCTGCACCTGGCTGGGCGTGGGCGCTCCCACCCAGGCTCTCCCTGGTGCCTGCCCCAGCCCAGCCCGCAGCCCGCAGCCTGCAGCCCCCCGGCTCTGCACACCGCGGGGGCACGTGTGCCCCTCCCACCAGGCGCGCCCGCTCTAGCGCACCCAAGTAGGAGCCGCTGGACAGCTTCACTCCTTGTTGCTCCTTGGTGAGCACGCTGACCACGCCGCAGCTGGATGAAGTACATCTTTCTTCCCGATGGTGCCTTCGCGGATGATGTAGTCACCCGGCTGGAAGACCT